TCCTCTTAGCTTTCTTTTTCGGTATGGGTTTTATTAGTTTAATCCTATATTTGTACGAAGCTATTCACTTGTTTTTTGCTTAATACTTTTGTTTTTCACTTAACTAGTAAACTGTGCAAAAAAGCAATTTTTTATTAAAGATTTAGGTAAAATCTGCTTACATGTCCTTGACAGAAAGTAAATTCTCTATTCATTTTTATTAGCTAAATATTTACAAATATATCGTTTTTCTATTAATTTATAATTACTATTTTATTTATAATTTTTAATAATTTAAATAAAAAATATTGCTAAATGTTTTCTTTGTATTTATTCTTATCTATAAATACTAATAACAATACAATCATTCCGATGTAAAAAAAAATCTATTTAATACATATCCATTCTACAGAGGAAAAATATTATGAATTTTATCCGTCGCGTCGGTCTATGAACTTCAAAACAGTATCAAATTGTTCTATATGTATATTGAATAACAATAAATAGAAATAAAAGTTTACGATATAAAATTGTAACACAGTTGTAAACATCGAACTAGAAAATCGAATGTGATGCTTTAGATTCATTTGATATAGACCGGATGATGTTACACCCAGCATTAGAATATTATGGATATACCCTGTTTAAATATACTATTATCACTATTATAAAAATGTATAGTTTTGAATTTTGGATGTTTGGAGTAATCTCCGGTACTAATGATTCTATTTTGTATATATAAAGCTAGTATAAAATAAGCGTTAGTTTTGAATTTTTCAATAAAATCTTCCTATTTATTACAGTCGCAATAATTAATTATAAAATTAAATATTATTATTAATTATAAAATTACAACATCGCGACACACAAATACAGATACAGATATTTCGTATCTGTCTGGTTACCTTATCACGATTAATAGAAGAATAAAATTTTTTAAATAAATTATATCAAGAGGCACACAGACTACCTTCTATCTCAAAAAAACAGATTAAGTCGCGGGTATCCGCTATTATCATAGATAATACGTACATTTTCACGATATATCCATGTCATAACGTCACCTTGACTAAACTGTGTTAATTTGGTGTCAAAGTCACCATCCGCCATCACTTGTCGCCAATAAAAATGCTAAACGCGATCGAATGGGCTGATCCGAAATGTAATGGGTGTCTTGCCATCAGTCGATTGGTAATAAATTTACATAAAATGACAAAACGCTTCCATCCAGATTACACATTAATTATAGTGATTTATTGTTATTAATACTCACATAGTAAGTGTCACATCACCACTACTACCTATGATTTTTTTTGACTAGAGAGTAATTTAAGTTTAATAAGTCATTAAATAGTTCAAGTTTATAATTTCAACAAGTTTATATTTTCAAAAAAAAAACTATTTTAATATTCGTACAATTAGTGCTGTAGCACTGTGGTTTTCTTTTTGCATTGGAGTATATTTATAGAGTTTCGCCATCTGTAAGTTATATTATCCTGTTAATTACAAAAACTCAAAAGAATCACCATTCTTATACTCCTACTAAAATTATAAAAATTAAAATTTGTGAGTATGGATGAATGGATTGATGTTTACTTGTTTACTCTTTTACACAAAAACGACTAAATGGATTTTGATGTAACTTTACAGTAATATCAGATTAGATATCAGAATGACACATAAACTATAATTTCAAAAGATATTATATACCTATATAAATTGGGCGAAATAAAATATCGAGTAAATGTGATGTAGACAAGTTGATTAAGTTAGCTCATATTCGTATAAAGTAGAAAGAATAAACCGATTAAATATAATCATATAAACAAAATCCAATTAAAAATATATTCCTCTTTGAAATCAGTAGAAAAACAGATTAAGGTTTTCGCGTCTCATCCATGTTAGGATAATGTCATCGGCCGGCGGTTACAACCTAACCAGTCGATAAGTTAATTTGGCGTCAAAGTCACCGTCCGCGACCACTTGTCGCCGATAAAAGAACGCTAAACGCACCTTAACTTTGATCCCGGTCAAATGATCACGTCTAAAATAATAGGCTCTACGCCAGTCAGTCAATCAGTCAATTGGTTAATAATAAATTTACATAAGCTGACAAAATGCCTCCATCCTTGTAATGATTTTAAAATTTTTTGATTGATTTTGTGATCGTAGCTATAATTTAATTGTTAGCAATTGATAATAAAATAGTACATCCAGAGTAGATAGTTTAACACTTTGTAAAAATATGATTTTTATGAATAAAATAAATAGTTTAAGTCTTTAAGTATGTAATATTCTCCCACTTGTGGTGTAAGTTAGTAAGTTAATTCAAGTATGATGTGATTGTCATAAGCTATAGACATGGATATTAGTAATGCAATCAAAATCAACCAATAACTGTAATATTTATATACCTCTCTAATACGATTTTAAATAGGACTTTATTGTTTTATTAATAAAATTATCATAACTCATCAGATATACAATTAACTAGTATGAACCTTAAAATTGTCAAACGAAGAACATAAACAGGCGCTTATCACAGAAATCACCGAATAAAATACAAAAACATCGTGTGAGTCCGACAGAAAGTTTCAAAACGGTATCGTAACGATCAAATATTTCTTTTATGCTCTGATATAATCACGTTTCACAAAATTATTAGGTATCTAGTACCTAATAATTTTGTGAAACGTGATTATGAAAATGAAATTTTATTGCTGTTTATTAAAACTCTTAATTTTCAATTGACATTTCGCTCTTATAACCACAGGCGCAGAGTAGTCTATCGAGAAAATATTGAAAAGGTCGTCAAGTAGCACATATAGTACTCATACTGAGGGTTCCGTTCTATAAATAAAACTACCTGACTCTGTCTGTTTTTTTGGTTAGAAGATAGCCATTGTCCTTGCCATACCATCTATTTTGAAGACAAATATCATTAAAATTATTTAGTTGCAAAATGATAAGAAAATCACATTTATAATATTAGTATAAACTTCTAGGAAAAAATGTATTACTAGATACCTACGTTTATATCATATGCCACTTTTATCCAAAATATACACATATATAATTTCAACAATATAAGTGAAAGGTCAGTGTTACATTATTAATATATATCTAATATACTGCAAATTTTACTTCGAGGAGGTTACTTTAATCCCGTTGTGTTCTGTGCCTAATTTACGTGTATTACTTGTAATTTGCAATTATATTTCAGTATCTAATGCTTTGGTAGGCAATATCGACTTCATATCTCTCTCGGTTGTCATTAATAATATAAGTTTTAGGCCTAAAGCCTTTAAGGAAAGGAACTCTAAAAAAATAAGAGCAAGTTTTTAATAAGGTAATTCAACGTGAGGAGATGTTAATAAGAAACTAATGTAAGTTAAGCATGTATAATGTATTAGATAATGAGTGAGTTTTACGCGGGTGGGCCGGCATCTCGATACGGATCCGATATTATCTCGATGCAAGATTCGTCTCTCGATTTTCTTAATTACTGTGAATGTTTGTTGGGACCTTGGCACAGACTAATGACGTGAATCGAATCGCTTAGTTGAATAAACGTGTTTGAGAGGACAAATATACTAAAATTAAAATTTTTAAAATACATGCCTAACCTATGCGTGTGTCTGTGTAGTTAATCGCTTAGCCAAAATTGATGAAGTTTAGGATGTTTAGTGCTATTAGTTGATATCATAGAGGTTATTAGGCGCTTTATGAATATTGTGTATTTGCCTATTCTATCTAGAAAATATCTCTAATACTTATAAGTTGAAAAAAAAAGATAAAACTAAAAAAAATTGTATATAGGTAGTTTTTTATTAGTAACCATAACCAGCACTTATGAACTAGAATTAGATCAACAGTAATTAAAAAATGTAACTATACCTACCTAACATATTAGCTAAACGCTAGAGACTTTTTTAACAACCAATTCTCTCAAAGAAATACTGAATCACGGAAACATATATATGTAAGTATATTTTATTTTTATATTATATACAAAAATAAAAATTTCTTACATAAATAATTTTGAAATATAATACATATCACCCGGCAATAAAAATAATATTGTCACTACCAATAGTCTTTCTTTTCGAATAAATCGGCAATATCAATACGACTTTTTGTTATTAGCATTTAAAAATAAGTTATATTTTTTCTTATAAATTATTTGTCTTCGTTTAAGGAAAATGCCTGAAATATAACAACTAAATATGGTAGCACCGACTTTTCTATTCTGTGGCAGGTCGAGCATTCTTTGAAACGCTTATGATTTCGATGCGTGAGGTAAATTCCAACCCACATGGCCGTCTGCCGGCTTCTCAGCTTTAATGTGGACCGTGTAAGTTAATTAAGATCTGGGCCGTATAAACGGACTGCTACTTGGGTTACATGTTTAATATATTAGATAAGATATACTGAAAATACGCCCAAACGTATGCTTCAACGAAATCTATCGGTATTGCGTGTAATGTGTTTTTAAACTTAGAAACGCAGTTAAGATCTGTTGTGGTCAATCAATGTGACACTTTTGTGACATTTTGTAAATGATTCTTGTTATGTTGCTTGAATACGAAATCTTGAGATATATTTTAGAATATATTATACCAAAAATAGCTTAATGACAAAGCAAGAAATAAATGGTGCAAAAAGATGAATCGACAGGGAATAAATTGTATAAAGTGCAAAAATATTAATCAAAATCGATACAGAATTAATAAAAAAGAATATGCATATACGCCTATTGCACATAAATAAATACAAAGTCCACCGTTTTCTTTATTAACTTTTTATAAGATAATAATAATAATAATAACATTATTCAAGATTTATTTAAAATTTTATTAAAATCACAACACTCTCACAGACCGACTAATCATAAAAATAACTACCAAACCATATACATACATACCTTAAAAATCTCAAATTTGCCAAATTTATGATGTGATATATACCTAGTATTAACATACATTGAAAATAATTTATAAAATTCCAAAATTAAATCATACCTGTATGGGGCATCTTGTGGTCGACGATAATCTGCAAACAAAACACATTAAATTAATAATTTAGTAGCGAATCGCACGATATCACAAACAATTCAAAACTACAAAATACGTTTCACGTAAAAAAAAACAAACAATATTTTAGTTTTTTCTTATTTCTCATAAACATGCTTATCTTTGAGCCAAATCAGTGGCATACCTGAATTACAAAGGCACGTGACATCTATATCGGAACATTTTCTCTCATTTTTCGGCGACACTTTGTCGTGAACAAAAGCCACAGCTCGACTGTGACATTGTGGCATGAAAGGACCACGGTCATGATTACAGTTAGCCATTACAGGCCGATAACACACTTAAATCATAATTTATTCAAATTAAAAATACTTATCAAAATATGATGCGGTACTAAATCAAGAATTAAGTGAGGTGGTGCGTGCCCACGGTGAAAATCGATGGTATCAAAGCGGGCGATCACCGTGAAAATCCAAAAAAATATGAATAAAAAAGTGGCGTTTACACGCGAATATCAGTTTAAAATGCGTGGCGTCTTGTGACCGCTACCGCACCATTATAAAGCTTAGAGCGAACAGTTGCTCTCTATGACTAAAATAATTCAAGAATAATTTCCATAAAAAAATCATCATCATTTTAATGAGGAAAAATGTTTTTATTTGAGTAAGAAGCTGCGCTGAAGCCTTGTGAAAAATGGGAGACCTCTTTTTACAAGACTCCAGTTCAGATAACATCACAAAATAATGTTGACCTTCGTGTTACCCGGTTAATATTTTTAATCATCTATTTCTGGGGAAAAGAACATTGTAAGTAATGTAAATTGATGATCATCTTGCTAGCAATGTACCATGTCAGGTTGTACTCCACGGTGTATTGGAAACCATCGTGACAAATTCTTGGTGAATATGTCACGATAGGCTAACTGACCTGACCTCATGTTCATCTTATCATCCTCCACTGGTGCCCCGCCAGCGTAAACCGTTAGCGCAGACGGGTGCACCATTCCATTATCATTCATAAAAAAAACTTCTATTTCTAGTTAATTTTTTTAACCAATTTTTTAATATGCCGTATACTTACATATAAAAACTGGAAGTAAATTTAGACATCTTAAAAATTCAAATCAATTAATAGAATTTTATAAAAGTTTTGATTATTGTTGTCTTTGTAATTAAATATATTACATATTATATACATTACGTTCTACATTCATAGTCAATCATGTATTTTCTGAAACATTGACCTTTTTATTTCTATAGCACAGAATCTATTAGGTGCAATACCAATGATACGAATCACATACCTATACAGTCCCTGTGTGTGCCGACAAACACTTTAATTGATTAAATAAAATAAAAAGAAAATATTTTTCTTTGAAAATGTAAACCGATTATTTCGCCCTAAAATAAGTGTGACCGCGTTTAATGTGGTCACCGATCAGATAGTGTCCCGCGGCTCCTGTTTTGCATAACTACTCGGTTTAGTGATGGTAGGCAATCTCGGAATATCGATAACAATTTTTAAATTATATCTAACTACCCGACCCGGCTTCGCACGGTGTGTACATATTGTTAACTTTTTTTTCAATTTTACAATAATAATGTGTAATTTTATTATTCATTAGTATGAGGACGATAATAAATATGGAGGTTTTATTTAGAATTTCAAAACTACCTCTTTATTTTACACTAGCTACCCGTCCCGACTTCGCACGGGTGTACATGAATTATACATATAAACCTCCCTCTTGAACTATCTATTAAAAAAAACCGCTTCAAAATCCGTTCCGCAGTTTTAAAGATTTAAGCCAACATAGGGACAGATAGCGACAGCGATTTTGTTTTATACTATGTAATAATGATGATGATAATGATATATTATATAGATTATTCATATATGTATATCGAGTTTTATAATTACATAATGCAATGTCCACTAAGTCTCAATGTAAGCAAAACACTTTCACTTTGACAAATAAAACAATAATTATTAATACTCAAATAAAAGTAAAACTCAAATCAGATTATAAACAGCGATAAATTTTGAAATTGTGATTCCCATCCCTAATCGTTTAGAGTCGATCACGACAACCTAAAAACGCGTGCTCGTAGCTATACGGACGCGAATTTTAACTTGAATAATAAGAAAATATTAGTTTTTTTAACTGCAAATGACTATCATTGCGTTCCTGAATCTAATCTTAATTTTATTGTAAGTTTGAAACTTAATGAAACAAATAGAGTAATAAGTCTAAATACTCTAGAAATTACTCGACTATTAATTTAAATAATTAGTATACTATGTGCAGGTATCTGCTAAACAATTTTGCAGTCACTTTTTAAAGTAGGTACATATATGTATATACGTTGCTTCGCGCATCTAAAGTTAGTAAAATCTCGTATATTTTGTTTATCCATGATTTTACAGAACTTTGGATGCGTAAAGCAAATAATGGAAGGAATTAGTACATATATATGTACTTTAAAAAGTGTCTGTAAAATCGTTAATAAGCAGATATATAGACTATGTAGTGACTGGAATACAGTGATTGAACGAAAACAAAAATTGATATCGAAAAGTAAGGAACTATCAAACTGACATTGCTATTTATTTATTTACGACGACCTTGGTGGTCTAGTCTTTTAGCACACCGTCTTACTTCCGATGATCGCGGGTTCGATTCCTCGCACGGCATAAATATTTGTATTCATTAGTATGGTTGTTTGTCTCGATCTGGGTGTTTTATATGTAAGTATTAATATGTATGTATTTACGAAACAAAATATCTATGTATTTGTATCAGTTATCTAGTACATATAATACAAGCTTTAGCTAGCTTAACTTGGGTCTAGATGGCGCTGTGTGAATTGTCCTCATACCATAATTATTATTTATTACCTAGTACCTACCTCATTAAGCAAATTCCTCACAAAGTTTGCCCTGCATGTAACATTATAAAGAATACAAAATAATTTCGCGTCTATGTCACAGTGAGCGTGAGCGTATCAACGAATATTACTATGACTATTACCATAATGTCATACGACAAAATGCTTAAATTATGGCGCGCGTTACTCGGACACGCCAAACTTATGCCACGCATATAGGGTTGTCAACGACTACTAAATAGACATATTTATATATATGTAATATATTTAAATTGATTAATCTTTATTATATTTTCTATTGCCATTACATGTAAAAAAATCGTGATCAGGCAAATAATGTTTGATTGTGTGTTCTTGTGTTGATATTTCACGTAGAAATGGCTGGAGGAATTACGATGATTTTTTTATAGAATGTTGTTAAATATGGGTCAACATATAGGTTAAAATTCTTGGGAGTAATACGAGAGATATTTTTAAAAGATGTTAGAATTAATTTTGAGCATACTTTCAATACATCACTTTCAAGTTTTATTAATAATTAAATGACATTAGCGTCGTTGTATCACTATTAATATACGGCAATTTAAAAGAGAATATGCGTATGAAGTGATTAATAATAATAAAAAGAAAGAAAATGATTACTAATATTATATTTTCTATTTTCATGTAACGACAAAACATATATTTGATTACTACTTGTTTGCGGAGCGCTGAAACAACGTAAGTGATTCATTATCTTTTCCACAATATAATAAAAAAAGGTCCTAATTGTAATCTAAATTACATACAATAACAATTATTTTATTATATACTAAATGTATATTACAGTTTAATAAAGGAAGATGATGATGGGAAGTTTAAGAGACCCACTGACAGAAGCGTGACTTGAATTACGGTTTAAATCAGCAGTGACAACCCTATCAACATTAGAGAGCTGCTGGAAACATGAAATCAAGGTTAGAGATATCTTTATAATCTAATAGAGGGTGATTTTTTGAACAAGCATTCGTATTGAAGCCTATGTTTTGCGTGAAATGGTTGGTGCGTGTTATTAATAATTTGTGCATATTTTACAGTTTTAACATTTTTATGGCAATGGTTTGTAAGCCCTGGGTTTACAGTGTACGGCGTCATGGTATTACCACCTTTACTCAGTGTTGGATTCTTATATCATTACCATAAATATGTAGGGGTTGTAGGTGAAATTATATGACAATAAAGTAATTAACCTCACAATTGTAAACCAAAATTTCCTCATTCACTTATCAACTGTCAATGATTCAGGTGAACATAACGTGGAATAGAATTTCAGCAATATGGCAATGGTCGTCACCAGTTGGGCAGATGTAGATGCTCCTTCCTGAAAATTGTGTGCAATACAAAATATTTTAGAAAATATACCCGGCCCTATAATCGGGCCTAACCCTCCTACCCTGGGTCTGAAGTAAGGTATGGTGATATCACTTGTGATATGGCACTCACGCCACTCCCGTGATATGTGTACAAAATTTTTTTTGTTATTAAGAACAGAATGAAATTATGAAACTATTTAAGAAAAAGAAGAGAAGAAACAGATTGCCAATAAGCAGCAAAGAAAAGGAAAATGGAAAAAATATTAAAAGAACAATTTTCCTATTTGTGGTCATATAATTTATGTATGTATCTCTAAGTGTATCTATATTTAGGACCATGGCACCAACACAATATAATATATAAACAAGAGATACGATCTATATAAAAATGAGCTAATTAAATACGAATACAGAAAATGTGTGCTCATCTGTTCTCGGAACTATATACTGAAGATATATAGTTCGTAACATCGAGCTAACCCGCCACGGTAGCCGCTAAAGACCACACTAAGATATCTTAACCCGTTAGCGACAGACTTAAATTATACGGTCCCTTTAAAAATAAATATGTTCAAACCGATCCTATTAATGAAAGGGTCCCGTATATATATTTTTTTTATTTAGGTGTTTGGTTAAAGTTTAGTCCTGCACTGCAACCTACGGAGATCTATTGTGCTATTCGTTACACGGACCGACAACAATTAAAGGATATTTTTAAGACCAATGGTTTTTATTACTACTGAACATGGTAACATGGTACGGGGAGTTACAGACGAAGT